CGTTGAAGCACAAAAAAGACCACAAATCCAATCCAGCTTTTATTTTCAAGCTTGTCTTTTGTGCTCGTCATTGTTCTTTTTTTCACTTTTTGAACCTTTTTGAGCTTCTTTTTGTCAAAAGAAAATACTTTTCAAAACGAATTATGTAAAAAACAAAAGCTATATTTTAAGTTTATTTTAATTAAAATGAAAAACCATTTCAAACATTTTTTTCTGAGCAAAATTGATTTTTTTCTGAAAAAACAAAGAAAAGGCCCAATCAAAATTATTTTCCTATTTATAAAGGGTGGTACTTAAGTTTTATCTATTTTGGCTTAAAGTTCAACCAAAGTTTCACAAAATTTACTCACTTAAGTGGGTTTATTCCACTACTGTACTCACTTGTTAAATCTAATTTGAAAACGTTCTGTATTTGTTTATTGCTTATTCTTTATCTTTTTTATTTAACATTTTTAATTGATCGTTTTATATTTACTTTACATGATTGGCAAGCGAGGTTTTTTCATCTACGTTCTATCAAATAAACACAGAACACAAGATTTATAATCGTATTCAATGTGAATATATTATATCTATAATACATAGTTAATCGTTAAAAATATGAATAAAAATGTTGATTGATGTGTAAATAATAAAAAAATGTCCACAATTATTAAAATATTAAAAAAAATAAATGAATAATACGATTCTTGTATATTTATTTGAAATAAAAAAAATCGGGAAATTACTCAAATATTGGGTTAATCTTTTCCAATTTTTAAAGGTTCGTTAGTGATCATATTGTAATTAAACGTGAGTATAATTGTACGTTTAAAATAAACATAAGATAAACGATAATATAACAATAAACAAACGATGTGATGAATAACACCATTGCATCAAATGAAACTACACATTACTAATGATTAGTCTTTATTCATTTCAACGATTAAAAATAGTCATCGATAACATAAAACGACAAACATTAAAAACAAACAATGGTCTCATCACATCGAAATAAAAATTAATAAACAGTTAAAAACAAAAAAAAATAAAACTTTTAAATTATTTAGTTTTAAACATTTTTTTAAATGCTTGTTTTACTCGTTTATACTTTTAATTTTAATATGAAACACAATTTAGTTGTTCTATAAAAATTGACATCGAATTATAAAGTTGTGTTTTCATTTTTTGGCAAATTTTGTGTTATGGTAATCAAAATTTAATCTAAAGTTTGTTTTTATTTTTTTTCATGTATATTTTGGTACAAGATTTATTTGTAAAGAAAATTAGAAAAAATTCAGGTTCGTTATTTGATTATTTTCAAGAAAAATATTTTGAACAAAAAATGAGGGTTAAGCAAAGGAAAAAATAGTTTAAAAACAATATATCCAATAAATTGGGGCGTCCCAGTACAGAGTTATGAAAACAGTTTATTATAATAATAAAACAATATAAATATTAGACTATGATTAATTAAAATATATATGTGTCCCAATTTACTGCTTTTTAATTTATCGAAAACGAAAAAAATCAAAATTTGTAAAAAATAAAAAACTAAAGAGCACCAGAAAACGGCCATACAGCAGAAAATAGTCGTACACATTGTTTTATAGTATTTTTCTGTATAAAGTCGGGTTTTTATTTTTTCAAAACCCAATTTTTTTCCTGATTGTTTAGTCAAATTTTATATGTGAAAAATATTCCCGATTTTTTGGTTTGTTTGATACTAAAATCACAAGTGTACGACAATTTTCTGTTGGTCTTTAATTGGAAATAATTATTAAAAATTACATCTATCTTTTTTATGTTCTTCCGTTTCACAAATAATAGACCTTATTGATTACATGTTTTAACTTCCATCAACAAAAAATTGTTTTGTAAACTATTTAGTCAAACAAGTAATTTATACATTTTTTAAAATGAGTTATACACTTGTTGTTTTTAATACACAAATATTCATTTTTTGTTATTTTGTTAAATTAACACCAAAAATGGATAAAATTATGTTCTTTTGACTGGCACTTCACCATAGGTCAAATTGAATGAAGTCAATGACACAATTTTGGCATAAGAAGAGCAGCTTGTTGCAGTCACTATATATGCACCATCATCTCTATAAAATAATGGAATTCTAACCAAAGAACTTGGTTTTAATACTCGACTGCATCCACCAACAGCCCCACAACCATCATCAGAGTCCGTGATGTATAAATAGCTAATCATGTTATCACCTCTTTTACTTGATAAGTCTTCTTGTTTTACTTTTAAGTTTTCTTGACTTTCTGTGAGACATTCACCCGAATCCACCATATCAAAATCGCCAAGTTCATATCCCCATAATGTAATGGCGTGCCCTCTTCCACAAGTGTATTTGACATTAAGACCCATTGGTGTACCTCTTTTTATATGTGGTATTACCATCTTTTTCAGATATTCAATATAATAATCTCTCCCTTGATCACTTCCGACATAATTATCTAATGCAACTCTAACATTCTTTTCAAATCCAACATACTCGGTATATCGAGAACCTCTCTCATATAAATTATCATAGAGTAACGTGTCTGCTCCAGTGAAAAACCAATTCAATGCTTTACCAACAAAATAACCTTCATTTGTTGAACAAAGTCTAATGTATTCATATGCTACACTTTGGGAATATGCTGTATTATCATTTGCTTTAACCGTCCCATTTTCCCAACTCGTTGGTCCATACGGCGTGTCAACAGGAACATTAGTGAAGTTAATAGATTGTTGATACCAGTCGATAAGGTTTGCTGTTGTTGCAGCCCAACACAACGAACTATCTTTAACAAGATATGTTGTGTTATATCCCATTACTGTTGCATTTTCTCTACCTTCCCATTCTTTGTTGCAATCAAACCACCCATTTTCTATGTCAATACCTTTAGCGAAATAACCTCCTCCGCGTGTAGATGTTTCTTCAATCGTTAATTCAAACGAACTGCTAATTGTCTCATCTTCAGCTGAAACGGCTGTAATAGTGGTTTTTCCTGATAGAGTTGGAGTCATTGTGTATACATTTTCAGCTTTTATACCGGTATTCTTGTATGGGTAAAATCCATCTCCTGCAGTAACAATAACAGCTCTGTTATTGGCTTTTGGAGGATCGACACGCACTTGAAAACTGAAAGGATTTCCTTTGATCACGGTGATGTTTTCAAACGAAAAACTGATACGTTGAACGGGAATAATACCAGTGTAAACAGTAAATCTTTGACTTGATCTCACATTAATTTCATTGTAATTTTTGATATACACGGCATATATTTCAGTTGAACCTTCATCAACACCAATGATTTTACGACCTTCGACTCTGATAATGTGAGGGTCCTCTGTTGTGTAATAAAGATTGGTATCATTTTCTTCAATTAATACATGACCTGGCTCTAAGTATGCAGTTAATGGTATTTCTTCATACACCTTTAAAGTGTTGTTCTTCGCTTCAAATACAATTCTTACAGTTGAATCTTGTGTGACAGTTAATTCTTTAGTGCCAACTATATTTTTGGTAAGGTAAGTGCACGTGATAGTCGCATTACCTTGTGATACCCCAATCACGGACAAATAATTTCCAGGCTTCAAAATAGCTTCATTTGAAGAAGATAAAACAACATCACTTGAGAAAAGTGGTGTTTTATAAGGCATCAAATAGACTCTTAATTTCATTGATTGTCCAGCAACAACACTATCTTGATCTGAATCAATCCGGAGAGTTTCTACATAAACAGTAAATAATTTCGAGTCTTCAAAAGTGATTCCATTTTCAGTGTAATTACATTTGACATCTGTTGTACCAACACTTTTCCCTTTAAGTGATAAGTTTGAATAAACCTGAATCACAGAAGTATCAAAAGCACTACACTGAACCTCAGTCGATAAAAGCTTTCTGTTTGCTGGATATGCAAACACGTTTATATAAACAGTGTTGCCAACCATAACATCTGTAACTGCTGCTTCAATGCCAATGTTTGTTGTAACGATGTCTGTATAAACTGAAAATATAAGTGTTGTTTTAAAAGTATTTCCATTTTCAAAATAACTAGCAGTTATAGTTGCAGACCCTTTTTGAATTCCAGTCACTTTTCCTTCGTTATTTGTGATCAATATTTCTGGGTGGTTTGAACTAAACGACACCTGACTTGAATTTAAAAGTCTCTTATTCGGGTTTGCGTATACCCTTAATAAAGTGGATTCTCCTGTTTTGAGACTGGTTGTATCACTTTCCATAACTATAGAGTCTGTTAAAACTTCTGGTTCATACACCATAAAGGTCTTTTGTGCTAAATAAGAATTATCATACTCAAAATATGTTGCTGTGACACTTGCGTTTCCAACTGAAATACCATAGACTTTCCCATCCTTTGAAACAGTTAAAATTGCCTTGTTTGTTGTTGAGTAAATTATTTCAGTATTATTCAAAGGACGATGCCCGGGGTTTGCATACACCTTCAGAGTAATTATTTGACCAATTTTAACTCTATCTGATTCGGATTCAATTATAATGTTGTCAGTTTCAATAAACGTGTATACAACAAAAAATTTGTTCTGAGTAATGACCTTTGAATTTTCTGTGTATGAACAAGTCAAAGAAGTAGATCCTTCATTGATTCCAGTCATTACACCATTATTCATACTCAAAACTGACGTGTTAGCAAATGAACAACTAACATCATTAAAATTTAGCTTCTTGTGTGCGGGCTCTGCATAAACCGTCAATTGAATACTCTGTCCAACTTTGATCATCGTTGTTTCACTTTCAAGAGATAGACTTTCAGTTGCAATTTGATTGTAAATCTCGACAACAATTGCTTCATATATTGGGTGGTCGGCGCAAGTAACTTTTATTTCTGTTTTACCAACGCTTTTTGGTGTTATGAGACCCTGAGAATCAATTGTGGCAATTTTTTCATTCAAAGAAATGAAATTGAGTGTGCCACCAGAATACACTTTTGAAAGAAGTTTTGGGACAATGGTATATGAAGAATCAATTTGAACTTTTACTGTTTTGACATCAACGCATATTGGTTGATCGATGGAAAAGACTCCAAGTGCTAATATAAACAAAATGATGTAAACTTTATTTATTCTCATCAATGAATTTTTTAATTGTCAAATGTTTATATTATTTTTTCCAACAATTCCTTTTTCTTAAAATAGTATTGAGTGTTAAAAACATTAAAAAAGTAATATTAGAACAAGAAGTTATTGAAAACATATTAAAAATTTTTAGTTCTAAAACCGAATTGTTGGCTTTGTTTATATATATTTTAAAACAGCAATATAAATATATAACTTTTTGATTATATTACATTCCAAAAACGTTAATACAATTAATACAATTAGAAAAATAAAATACATAACAATTATTATTAAGAAAAAGCCATTATGATATCGTTAACCAAACTTTGTGGATTTAACTAACTGAATAAACTCAAACCCCATTCTTAAAATACATATCAATGTTTCATTGTTTAGACCATTTTAATTTTTTTTATCTTTTTGTTATTTTTTACAAAAACATAGCTTTTTGATATTAGTGGGGAAATATATTATAAATTAATAATATGATGTAATTATGTCAACACAGTCGACCAATTTTCTATCGCCCGCCAAAAAACAAAGCAATTTGTGGCTGACACGTCATGTCCAAACCAAACACGATTGACCAATTTTCTTTGGCCCGCCAAAAAATCGGTAAGCTAATTGTAGCTGACACGTGTCGGCGGATGAAAATAGGACAAAGCATCGAAAATAACAAACATTTTAATTGCGGCTTTTGTTTTTGAATAAAAGTCGGGAAAATTACTCTAATAAGTATTTTTGGAAAATAAAAAATCTATTTGAACAAAATAATTATTATAATAAGATTATTATGATTGAAAATATGGGAAAATTACCCTAAAAAATAAAAAACATGTCTTTTGTGAATAAAATTGAAACATGATAACAAAATAATTATCAAAAATAAATAATATTTGTCATTGTTTTTATTTGGTATTTAAGAATTATTAACATCAAACATTCATTATTCCTATTATTTAACTACTCTATATTATTAAATTTGAATTATTTAATTAACTATTAGAATTATAAA